TAGATTTTCAGTACAAATCGGCAATTTCATACTTTAACCCCTATTATTAAGGTTGTTTTGTGATGGATTCGATCCTAATTACTAATCGCTTAGGCTGCTATTAGGCGGACTACATGCGCGCTGTCGATATGTACAACTGCATGCAGTCAACGAACGACGATTTTGCGGTTAAAAATATAAACAAAAGTACCATTACAAAAAAGTATTTTAAGAATTGTGCAAATGATATTAATCCGTCGAGAAAAATTTCACCAGTCGTGTTTTTGTTTTACTACTAAGTTCATTAAACCTCGAAGTAATCATTTTGCCGTTGTTTCAGAAAAAAAAATCGTATAGAATATCAATTGCTACTTTTGTTACCGGCTTATCGTTCACATCAACTGCAGTCGATGTTTCTTAACTGATTGTAGTTGTTCACGACTGCACGCAATAACTACAGACGTGCAGTCTCTGTTGGCAGTCTTAACGACTGCGTAAGAACACGTTAGAACAGACTATCCAAAACAATCGACACGTGTTGCACATGCCTGTTGTCAATATATGATTTATAGTGCTAAAAACACGTGCGTTCCTCAACTCGACATTGGCGAAATCATCGATTACTTCGTTGGGGCTATAACATTTAAAAGAAGGAGTAGTAGTTGGCCCCATTTTGTTTTCATAAAATAGTCCAAGTAACTCGTAAATAGAATCGCATCCGAGTCCACTCTGATCGGATGCCGATGCCGACGGTACACAGTGAAGAAGAGAAGAGAAGAGAACACTTTTCGGACATCTGCTTTTTATTAAAAAAAACCTATAGATCTTATGATTTGAAACATTATAGTAGAACTCCCGAGTGACAAATTTGCTTAGTTAGAGTAAAAATAATTTTTGAAATTTGCATATTTTTTATCTGAAAATATATTCCTACTACTTAATTTAAAAACAATACAAAAAAGGTGTCGTATATACCACAGACTACTTAGTGAACTACGTTGTAGGTATATACTTCGAAAGAACCTTATTAATATCACTTCTTACACTTTGAATAAACCTTATAACTTACGTAGTAATACGTATTTTTAAATTTTTCGTTTTTATTTTTTTCCCCATAAATTCCGCCATATTGGAAAAAGTTAATTACATCAACAGTGAGGTCTCACATTGTTTATTAACTTACAAAAAAACCGAATTTAAATCTCGTGGAGTCTAGAAGTTATTGGTAGTTTTAGTTATATCCGGAATTTTCGTCGTTAGGGTCGTCACTTTTCGGACGGTTAAAATATCCGGGTGAATCTTGTATAATTAAGACTAAATTAATTCCGGAGACACGTTAACTGCGGCATAAAAATGGGTCCACCTTCGTAAGGCTTTTTGTTAAAGTTCCATTTCGCCGATGGTGAATCCCTTAAAAGCATATCAGCCAGAGTCTTAGAAAAGGCGCTTCAAACATGTTTACAAAAAGAAAATGCGCCTAAGATGATTTTAAAAAAAAATTTAACATTCTACCCAACCATATATTCCGGATGAAGCGCTAGTACTTATATTATTGATAGAAAAATGACAGTTGAGACTTATAAATTTCTGCGGTTAGATCTCCTAGAACGTGGATTTCCACCTTACTACAAGGTACAAGAGGTAAGAAACAGTTGCTACCCAAAGAGAAGCTTCAGTTCCGTTCCAGAATCTTTTGCAACGCACTTTTGAGAAGATATTGAAATTAAATGATAAAGTTATAACACAGCACTACGAGCAAAATGCTTTAAAAGAATTAGAATGTACTTTGGGAGGAAACTAGGGGTTCGATGGAAGTACTGGATGTAAGGTGGCGAAGAAAATAGTCTCATACTACGTATATTTAGTTGGTACTGAAAACTATTAACAACGATTATCTTTGGAAGAATCCAGCCCCACAATCAAATCGGTATTGTAGACCATTGTGTGTGCAATACCGAAAAGAAACAAAAAGTTGACCTTGTCAGAAAAATTAAGAGTAGAATCATAAATTCGTGATCTAACTCCGTTGTTGAAGGAAATTTCTAAAGGCCATGAAATAAAAGTGTCATGCGAATTATATTTAGCTGCCATTGTGCATTGACGGCAAAGTATTGAATATAATTCTACGTACTTTTTCTCAAATGCGTTGCCCGTACTGTAATCTAACTGCCAATCAGTTTAATAATTTGAACATGGTATTAGAAAAACGTACTCGGGTAGTGAAAACCCGGCTTTACAAGTGCGTCGTTTCGTAGTACAGCGCGTACAGGTTTTACTTCTATCTCTTATAGAATTTTACATTTTTTTAACTGTGTTGTTTACCCTAGGAACATTGATTATAATAACATAATTTAATCCAAGGTGAATTATATATATATTTTTTTATTTTTTTTTATATTTAAAAAAATCCTCTTCCTTTCCGTTAAAAAGAAGGTCTTTGTCTTTCCCGATCTTTCCGTTCCGCAAGGAAAAAGAAAAAACATTTACATTTATTTATGGTCCGTTTGTCAAAAATGACGTGCATCGTGCATGACATTCGTTTAAGAGGTTTTTCTGTAAAACGGTGATAATTAATTATAATTCGTAGTATAATCAAAGAATAATATTACTGGAATATTAAGAACGCAAGTGGTTAACCATCTTTTCTGAAGACCAATAATAGGTGTTACGCCCTCGGTCAACTTGTTATCTGTACCAATACTTCATAAGTTCACTTCAAGGGTTTCGTGTTAATAACATTCTTACTCGAATTTCGAAATGGAAATTTGATTGTCATGTATATGTTTATTAGTGCAAAATAATCGTGACAAAAGTGTAGTTATTCGTTTGTTGTTATCCAAGAACAGGTTATATTATTGTATAAAGTGACCCATGAATGGCTTTTGTTTTTATGTGACCATGAAAGACTTCTGCTTATGTACCCTCACGTAGTTCATATACAAAGTTGAACAGGATGGATGAACGCAGAGTGGCTGACTACTTTGTAGTAGCAGGATTGCCCAAGAAACCTGAAATTCTTGATGATTCTGACTCTGGACATCTCAAAGGATACACATGCAAAGCACCTATTACTGATATAAGTAAGTAAATATTATATTTTAAAAGACTTATAATATATTAATTGATGAAGAACTACCCTCACAATTAAATTGAAATGCAATTTGAATAAATATCCTTAGAATGTAAGAGATTTATTTTAAAACAGTATTAACTTTCACTAAAAATTACATACACAGTAAAACATTACTTTCATTTTGGCTTCTCTATGTGTCAACAATTTAAGAGTACAATAATTTAAAATATTAGTAACAACTCACTCTATTTATTATTTATTAATTGGATACTTAAATTTGGTGAAATTATACAATACAAACCCTATACGCCACCTACAGTGGGATCGGGCTCGGCCTGCGGCGTGTGGTCGCTTTCAGATTACTGTGCTTATGTTTGTCAGTAGCACAGTGATTAGTACTATGGGCACTTGACGAGGAGGTTCCAGATTCGCTCCCTTATTTGAGCCAATTTTAAGTTGATCCTGGTCAGGTTATTCTGGATATTGCTCTCAGAATTATCATTACTCTGGTACTCATAGTACAGGAAATTCCCTAGTTTGAGACCAGAAATTTGAAGTGATTGTCTGGCGTTTTTTCCCTAAATACTTCTCTTTTTGGCATAGCTTCCAATAAAAAAGAATCTAACAGAGAGACAGTCGAAATACAACAATGCTATAAGTTGTATAAGTAAATAAGATATTATTTCCACTACACCGGGAAGTATGCCTTACATTTTGAACAATTGTGAAATCTAGTCCCCGTATAATACCTACGTAAGGTGGCGTGCGGAAGCTTCGTGCTTCACCCTCTGCTGGACCTTGTTTTAATTTTTGAACAAGTCTCATTCGGCAGCTATTTTTAAGAAAAACACATTTATATGGCAACAATATTAAAAAATTGGGAAAAAAATTTTTGACCCCAAATTATGATTAAGGACTCCAAAAGACCCCCGCATGCTAATTTTCAGCCGCATTGAAGCAAGTTTTTCTTCGGCCGCCAGTTTGGATTCGCCATCTTGAATTTTTTTACACAGGGTGTTGACCACTGTTACCCTCTATGACATTCCTTCCAGCACCTCCTACCTATCTCTCATAGTTTCCGTTATAGAAGGCTTCGAAATTTGTATGGCAGCCCTCTTGTTTATTTGGTTTTTAAACATTTTTTACTTTCTGCAGACATTGACCATGGTGTATCTCATAAAAGTGCACAAAAATCCCCCCCTCAAACACTCAAAATGGACAATGACCATTTAATATGCATTTATTATATACAAAGATATGTAGTGTATATTAAAATATGTTAATTAAGGAAGTAATTAACATTTGTGTTAAACATTTAATTGATGCTCTAGGTCGCATTAGTAATCAGATTGAATACTTTTTGTGATGGCCATAATGTTGTTGTACCATTTAAAAGCTCTGATAAACACCTATAATGGCAAACATTTCTGAGAGTTTTGAAGGCTATCATTACCAACATTGGGTAATGATAGCCTTCAAATGCTGAGTAGCGCATTCATGGGACACTGATTTAAATAAGCACACGTCCAACTTCACTCTAAGTGAGCATAGAGACTGTGGGTTCTGCCATGGAGCAGATTTGACCACTCAACACCTAAGCCAATGTTGTCCTATAAGTTACCCTCTTATTGGCATAATTCCTGGGCAAACTGTGCTCCACCCAAATGAGGTAAAGACAATCAAAGCTAAGAAAATCCTACAGTTCTTTCATTCTGTTGGTCTTGTCTTGAAATGTTGGAATTAGTGGTGATCACAATAAATCAATTGCAGGCACTTGGGACTTGTCAACTTATGTCTCAGGTTGACGGGCGCAGTGGTAGTGCCCCTCAGATCTTTGCAATTTAAAGTTCTGAGTGTCACTGTAACTGTTATAGAAATGCGTGTAGCTTACCATCAGGAACACAACTTGTTCGTCCCATCATTTGATGCTATATAAAAAAAATGCAGATTGCAGAGATGAAGGGCTGCCCAGTCTCTGAAAAACCATAATTATGAATTTATATTAACTTATTCTGTTTCAGATTCAGTTCAGTGAGATCATGATTCACTAGTAACTTGTTACACTTTAACCATAAATCAAACAAAAGTTAGAATTACATTACATTTAACTTGCCATTTAGTTATGTTGCTTGTTATAATGTCCTGTAAGATTATTACTATTCAAATAATATATCTGAATGTTTGAAAGGTTTCACCCGAAAATCAGTAAAACAAATACCTGCAATCAGGTGGCTAGGTTCTGAGCAGATCAGTTGAAGGATTATGGTGTTCCAGAAAGATGGGCCATTATGCTTTCCTTAATTAAGCAGCAGTAACAACAGGCAAAAGTTGTTGTGAAATAAGATCATTTGAGTATCTGGTTAAAATATTGCTGTAAAAACTGAAAAAAATGGCCTCTTTAAAAACCATTGTTATTTCCATGTAAATAACAATGGTTTTTATATTTATAGTATAAAAGGAAATTAGAAAAAAAAATTAATGAGTTGCAACAAAAGTCAAATATTCGGCCAAACTATTTGAACTAGTTAATACATGCATGAAAATTAGCACGAACAATACCATTTACTAACTTTAGTTATTATAATTAATATAGATAGCTTTGTACAATTAAACAAAAATGTACTTTAATATGCACATTTATAATTTGAGTTTACGACTAAATGAAAAATGTCATTCCTTGTTTCATTTCATTTCAATTAACTTTTAAAAACTGAACTTCATTTGGGTTTGTAAACAAAAAGAATTTGTTTGATTTTTTTATGTTTACAGAACTCAAAATAATGAGTAAACTACAATATAAGTAGGTAGTTACCGTTTCATTTGTAACCTTTTTTTAATCTCTTAGAAAAATATCTTATTGATGTTGGATTTTGTTTGACCTTTTAGATAAAGAAGCGAAAAATTGTGCTTTCGCGAACTTACAATATATGTTTTGTTTTTCTTTTATATTATATCAAGTGATGGGACAAACAAGTTGTATGCCTGATGGTAAGCTACATGTCTGTCCATAACAGTTGCGGTGCCACTCAGAGCTTTAAATCGCAAAGATCTGAATGGCACTGTCACTGCGCCTGTCACCTTGAGACATAAGTTGACAAGTCCCAGGTGCCTGTAATTCCAGCCAGCACCCCTTACCCTTCAAAACCGGAACATTACTGTGTTACAGTGTGTGTACAACATTACTTAGTACTGACATAGTAATGTCAGCATTACTATGCAGTAGTTGAAAAGCAGTAGCTTGGCGGCAGAAATAGGTAAGGTGACAGTACTTCCCTGGATGAGCTCTTTCACAAGGAACTCTACTGCTACCAAGTTATGCTATATGTTCAGCATTCATTAAATTTATGTTATAATTAAGTGTATTTTTTATTTCTTCCTCCTGTTTGGAGGTACACAGCTGAATAGTTATTCAATATTCCTTATTCGGCCGAATAAACTGAATACCGAATAGTAATTGAATATTTGTAGCAACTCTAATACACATGTACACATTGTGCAATAGTCTGTCTGCTCGGGATTTTTTCATTAGAGATGTCTAGCAATCGTGAAGACCTAAGAACACGATATAATTATTCACTTGACGTATAATATTTCAGGAATGTTTTGCAGTCAATACCTTGTCCAGTTATGCCTCTGAACTTGTGGTCTGGGTTTAAGTTACACTCATGCAACTGATACGAGTGTACAGTTTCTCTTTGCTACTTGTTAAGTATTAAATTTATAATAAATAAGAACAATTCTTGTGCACGATGTAGGAAATACTCCTTGTGGTACTACCACCATATACAATATGGTTAAAGTTATAAGAGACAATCCTTATAAGTTTATTTGATTGAGGGATGATAACCAATTGCACAAAGTGAGTTAGACATAGTAAAAATAACCATACATCATCTACAGATAACTACAAACATTTTAATTGTTTAAATGAAGCATCATATTGATTTACAGACAACAAAATTAAAAACTAAACGACAAACAAACTTAATGACATTACAGAGTACATTCTGTGGATAAATAAATAAAAACAGTTTTAGAATCTACTACAATGCCATACCTAATGCTTTAATAACCGCCTTCTTAAATTTGTATTTAGACATATCTTACAGTTTATATGAAAATGTATTATTTTCATCACTACCAGAAATACCATCCTATTTTCCTTTGTTCAATACAATATTTTATATTGAAGAAAAGTAAAGAAGATTCACCAAGTATCAGAATACTTATTACTGCAGACAATCATAGCCAATTGAAATGTATTGTGAATTAATAACTTTATGCAAAAGGGTATTTATCAGAAAGCTTTTTGTCATCCAACTACCCAACGTATTCTTTTAGCTCTTTCAGGTTGCTTCTACGAATGATATTTGTTACCCAAATAGGTGCTACGACGTCGAATTGCGAGAAACCAATCCCTTATACATATAAAATACTATTTTAAAATAAATGATGAACATGGAAGCAATTGTCTATTTACAAAGACCAGTTCCTAGAGTTCATTACTCATTGTTCTCAAATAATCTGCCTTGCGAATGAGTGATAGTGCTTAATCAAAGTGACTGTTTTAACTCTAAATACATTATGATAATAATATATAAAGTTAGTTTGAATTTTTTCAAGTAACTTGTATCACAAATGCTCTGGCAAATGTCATCACAGCATTATCTTTTCAAAAAGGCTCAGCATTACTACGGCACTACTTATTGATTCGATCGAAATAGGCCAATACAATATGTATAGTAAGTACATCAGGCCGCAGTCGGTTGACCTCAATGTGATTCATTTTTTCATTAGCGCCCAATGAACTACAGATAGAAGTTCAATGCCACCGCATTCTCGAGCAATAACAATGCATAGTTCACGTACTTAAACGTCAAATTAATTGGATCTGTATGCTGGATAACAAACGAAATTGAATAAACGGCACCAAAATCGCTCCTACGCGTGTGCGTTCCACATGCTCCTATTGTTATGCAAGTTTATAATAGCAGTTAGATGTTTAGTGACATCATACATTTTTGCGTAAACAATTTCATTTGGTGGTCTGTGAACGTGTATAATAACTAAAAATTACAATTAGCAGAGTATGTTTACTTCAGTTTCAAATTATAATATACGTAGAGTGGTAATACCTCCTCTGACATTCTAAAATTATTGTTTCCTATTTTTGATGTCCGCATGTACTTACTTTACTACAGTTGTATATTTTAGAAAAAATATTTTGCCCTTGTAAGTTAAATTATAACTATTTTGTTTTCATTCCGGGATTTCGAGTATTATTCACTCTATATGTGTTACTTAAAGTTTACAGTTACTGCGTTATCAAATTCATGCAGTCGAGGTCTCGGATAACGACTTTTTTTTATAATATCTAGTGACGGGACCAACATGTCGTGCGCCTGATGGTAAGCTACACGCCTATCCATAACAGTTGCAATGCCACTCGCAGCTTTAAATCGCAAAGATCTGAAGGACACTGCCACTGCGTCCGTCACCCTGAGACACAAGTTAACAAGTCCCATGCGCCTTATCATTTCATCAGCACCCTTACCCTTCAAAACCAGAACACAGTAATGCTGACTTTACTGCTTGGCGGCAGAAATAGGCAAGGTGGCACCCTCGACGAACTCTTTCACAAGAAGCACTACTGCTACTAAACTTAACGCATTAACTGCATGAAGTCGGTATCGTTATGGACAGGCGTATCGCTTGCCATCAGGCGCACGACTGGTTCGTCCTGTCACTTGATACTATTAAAGAAATAGTTCGACAAAACACACAACGAACTATGCTCATGTTTAACAAGGAATTTAATGAAACTGTGAGTTTACTTCGTAATTTCTTGCTTAAACTTAAGCAAAGTTCTTTTTGCAAGTACGGAAAACTGGCTTAGTGCGCGAACTAAGCTTAGTGCAAGTCAAAGATCGTTTTATAATTATCAGTCTTAGAATTATGTAATTACCTATTGCGGTACTCATAATAAGAATTTCCCGGTTCGAGCACAGGTTGTTAACATAATAATCTAGCACATTTGTAATTACTACTGACGCTATAAAAGTCTATATTATCACTCCTGCTAGGCACGGGTCATTTACATAATCCATCACGCTGTCGTAATGAATATCCGATAATCAGTTTAAAACATGCTCTATACAATGTTCTCTGAAATTAAATATATGGGTCTCAAAATGCTTATTCTTGTTCCAGGTGTAATATTTCCCGGCCTAGGCGAAACACTGCCCAGCGGGTACGAGCTTGTTGACTTAACGCCCACAGGACTACCTGCGGACCTTAATCATGGCTCCATGCGATCTCCAGAATGCTACTTGTGCTTTCGAAGAGGAAGGGATCGACCGCCGCTTGTTGATATCGGTAAGTGTGGCGCGACAGCCTAGTGGGAGATCAGTTGCTTCTCAATTCAGGGGTCGATGGTTCGAATCCCTTTAGCGACATGCACCTAAAACTTTCATCTCTAATTCGTCGTAAATGCAAATCCCTCTCGGAAAATGTGTAAAGTCCCCAATCGGCATTTGAGCAAGCCTTAGCCCTCTCTTTAGAGGATACCTGTGCCAAGTAGCGGGACGTATAATGATAATGATGACCGTGATAGCGGTTCTTTGACGACTTTATTAAAATTTTATGTAGATTACATTAGATTGAAGATTTTTATATTAGATTAAGACTTTGATCTGTCTCCAGACATTTCTGCGCGCTCCAGGGGTTCATATGTTTGATGTATACATGGAATTATTAAGGATATCTACATGGAAATTGCAATAAATAAATGAATATATGACTTTAGCGTCGTACACAGTGTGTGCTGTGTGCAAACCGGCGGACGGCAAGGCAGAGCACATTTTTTTTGTAACATCGACTACGAACAAGTAGTGCGCCTGGTGGTAAGCTACACGCCTGTCCATAACAGTCGCAGTGCCATTCAGAGCTTTAAATCGCAAAGATTTGAGGGGCAATGCCACTGCGACCATCACCCTGAGACATTAGTTGACATGTCCCATGTGCCTGTAATTTCACCAGCACTCTTGCCCTTCATAACAGGACCGCATAATGCTCACTTTACAGCTTGGTGGCAGAAATAAGTAAGGTGGCAGTACTTCCCTGGACGAACTCTTTCACAAAGAGCTCTACTGCTACTAAATTTATCAATGTATATTTTATGCTATTAGACGCAGAAAGAGTCGGTCTCAAGCATTGCAATTTATACTTTATTTAATTGCAATAGCATTAAATGTACATTAATAAATTTAACGTCCTCGGCCTTCCCGCCCGCCGGTTTGCGCTGGCCCTTAGAGTCACTTCATACATACCAATTTTACGCTAAAGTCGTACAATCGTTGCGACAGGTCACCATGTCAGCACCTACAGGTTGGCAAATTACCCTCGTTATTCTTCGATTTTAAATAACAAAATTCTTCTTGTAAACTCAAACCTTGTATACGCTTATAGAAGCGTATAAGATTCCAAGGTTTAAAACTATAAGTACTTGACGAAACATAATCAATCAGCTTCTGCGTTCTTGGATGACAGAAATCCATTGTAGTAGTCTGCTTAACTCGTGCAGGTAAACAGGACTTTTATAGAAAAAAAAAGTTCGTTTAATTACATCTATTTGCCAAGTTTTATTGATATCGGTGACCGGAAAGTATGTTTAAAAGGTAAAGGTGCTGGTGAAATGATACCAGTGATTGATAACCAGTGCAGTGGCGTGCGTCCCCTCAAACCTTTGCGATTTAAAGCTCTCAATGGCACAGCAACTGCTATGGACAGGCGTGTCGTTTACACGGTCAATAGCACGTCAAGTTAAATTCAACTTTATGCTGCTTCATAAGAACGGTCCGAAGTCCAAAGTGTCAAGCTTGATATGCTCTTATACGTAAGCTTGTACTCTCTCACATAGTACTCCCACAATATTACTAAGTACAGATGCCCATAAAATTACTAAGCAGAAAATCTGATACTGGCGTAATCCTAAAAGGGCAACGACAATAAATAAAAAGCCAAAATCAATCTAGTGTTTTTGAACAAAGAATTCGGATAGTAAATCTGTTCAGTAACGTTTAAGTAGGTTATTGATATAGATAATAATATGTAACAATAATAATGTGACAGACAATCACACCAATTAATTGGTCTCAAGTACTATGTACAAGAGCAACGAATTTTACTCCGGGGCATTAACCCAGAACACGCAGACTAGAAACAATTTAGAAAAAGTCATTTCCAATTTGGTCCTACCAGGAATCGAACCCGGGACCTCATTTAGCGCCTACAGCGCAAACCGTTGGGCCAACGAGGTCGTCAATTTCGTTGACGCATTATGTAATATTGAAAGAGAACCCCTATTTAAAAAAAGTTCCGTTAAGGCAAAATGGTATCATGGTTGCTTAGGCTTCGACATGCGTATGCGGGTAAAGCGCGGGTCGGGTAATTCCGTGTATTTGTATGGACGATTGTATTTATGCGCCCGTCTCGCGCCCGCGCTCGGTGTGTACAGTCGTCCATATAAATGCATGGAATGAGACCCCCCGCACACTGGGGCTCATCCATACAAGGCAATGCTCAAAAGTTAAATTTCAAAATGTGGTTATAGCCGTAATAAAGTATCACATCTAGTA